ATCTAACTATGCCATAAATTACTGTGCTCTGTGGTATCGTGGTGCGGCGGTCTTGAGCTGTTTGGGAGCTGCGTGCTGGTTTTGCTAGGTAGAGCATTAGAAGTTTCTTCAGGCTGAAGCTTCCTCTTGTGTTCTTGTGGACGCTGTGAAGAATACTTGTGTGTTAGACGTCTTTGTCTACCCTAGGCATGGTCTTAATGTGCATTTACTAAGGTTTTGGCTCCTTCCATTAAAAGCGACTACTTTTGGTACTTGTGTTTCTTGCAAGTAGAGCAGCAAGCTGTGGCACAGAAATCACACTGTTAATCAGGTTTACATACCTGTGTCTCCCTAAAACATTTTTTTAGTCCCTCTTTTATTGGTTGAACCGTGGAAACTGTACTGGATACTCCAATAAAATAATTCTCAACAGGGCCAGAAATGCTTATGCACTGTTGGGGATTTGCATATAATTAAATCCAGAAGGGCCTTAGAGCTTTAAGCCAGGTTAGCTTTACTGTGATTTGTATGTGCACAATGTATTCAGTGTCTGTATAGAAACATAACATTAATTACAAAGCTTTTTGCTGAAATCTTTCCGAAGACATCCAAAATGTACATGAATTAAAGTTACTCTTTTCCTGAGGTCGCTGGCAGTAAGCTTTGTAAAGGAAATGGCAAATTGTGGTCTTTGCCTTCCACTTCACTTGCAAGTTGGACATATTGAGCCATGTGATTTTTTTTTTTTTTTTTTTTTTCATGGCCGAGTAAGAGTAACTAGCCTTTATCGTTTTGGGTTTTTTTTCTCCCCTTTAGAGTGGAAATAATTAGGGTTGATGACTGGGAATGCTAAGCCACCTACCAAAGTCCTGTTTTCTGTTCGAGGTGCTGTGAATATTGTGATATTCGTGTGCTTGGAGATGATGTGTTCTGTGATACTCAGTATACAAAATCGCCTGTGTTTTCTCCAAACAGCTCAGGTGGATTTGGAAGGAGGAAAGCCATGAGCAGCGAGTCAGCTGCTTGGAGCAGCCACTGCACTATTTGATGTGTTTTCTATGTAGCTGATAATTAGCTAGCCCAAGGCTTGGGGAGTGAGAATGCTGTTGTTCTTTCAGTTGACTGGAGTCCAAAAGGCTACAAAGAGTAATGCCTGATGGCTGCTTGGTGGTGTGTAAATAGTGAAGTCTTGCCTGCTACTGAGCACCGCTTCCCTTGGGCCACGCGGGCTGAGCAGCGTGGTGAGCAGGAGCTGCTGGGCTTCAGCTCTGTAGGTGGGACATGGGGCTGAACGTCCTGGTTGGAACTGGTGGTGGCTTTGGGTCTTGCAGGCAAATAGGGCACCAGCTCCTCTCCGTGATCGAGTGCCTTGGAGTAGTGCTGAGCTGTCAAAAAATTGAAATATGCTTTAACTTTTAACAATGTAATTCTGTTCTTTATTAAGGTAGCAACATTTAAACCTAAGCTTTGGTATCTTCTGTAGACCAAAGCCAACCATCTTGCTGGTGAGGGCTTGTGTTTCAGTTTAAAAGCTGAATTTGTGTTGTGCTTTGTGTGAAACAAAAGGGTTTAAAAGTAGATCGTTCTTAATGTCTAAATTATTTTGGCTTAAATTATTCAAGCTGCCAAGCAGATTAAAAGAGGGGGGCTGCAGCTTGAATATACTTCTACCACGAAGCAAGATGAACTACAGCATTATCAGCAATTCCTTGATAAAACAGGAAAATCATCTGTGTTGCCCTTGACAAAAATGTTTTATTTTCTAGGAGCAGAATCACAAACAAATAGGCTTATTTATTCTTTTCCACAAATACCGTAGCTGCGGCTCTGCATTCTCCTTCTGTTTTCTAGGGTTGGCATGGCTTCAAATCTGCAGAACTCCACTTGAAAAGAGCGGGCGGCCTTACTGGGCTGCGCTCAAGTTGTCTGTTCAGACTTGAGCCTCATTCCTGAGATTCCTGGCTTCTGAGGGTTTCTCTGGGCGAAACGATGAAATGCCAGACTGAATAGGCTTGCACAGCGAGGGCCGTAGCCCCTCTTTATTTGAGCGGTAATAAAGGTTTAGTTATTGCTGTTGAATAAGACCGGGAAATTTCTTTTGTTGGTACTGCAGCCCGAGTACTTTAAATGGTTCCCACTTGTTCTGCCGCACACTACCCCAAAGAAAAGGAGGTGTCAAATATTCCCCGGAGCTTGCATCCCAGCAGAAGGTCTGCCTGTAAAAGTGCGCTTATTCTAGCTCAGCATCTTTAATATGAGAGGTTCAGAAGGGAAAACTAAAAAGGAAAAACCCTCAAAACAAGCAGAGCTACAGCTGACACAGTAGAAAGGAGTCTCTGGGCTGGAGGTGGTGACTGTATGTATACATAAATACGTGCTGATGGACATATATGGTGTGTTGTATCCCTGAAGACTGGTGAGTGAGAGGATAGGTATGTGTCTAAGGAATTAGTTTCTGGGTGAGGCTTTTTTGCGACTCCTTTCTCGCCAGCCACCATTTGGCCAGGCGTTAATGATCGCCAATCCTGCCCTTGCTTGCCCGCGCGCGGCAGGGAGATGTGCTAGCCAGGCAGCGGCTCTCGCTGGCGGCCGGGCCAGCTGGGTCTGTGCTTTGGCCCGTTGAATGCTGCAGAGCAGTGCGGGTGGCTAGTTAACGGCATGCTGCTCTGCAATTCATCTGTCCGGGGCAAATAACTTGGCCCTGGGGCTCCAGGAAGGAGGCACTAATAGCGGTGCTGGAGATAGCTGGGGAATAATTAGTAGTAGAGAATGCTTATTGATAGTCGCTGCAAGCAAAGCTGAGCTCAAGCAAATAGTTAACTCTACCGGTCAGCTCAGCTCGCTTAGATTTCTTTCTAACATGTCATTTACCGCTGAAGACAGCTAACTGTTTCTTGAAGAGCAGTTTTTGACAGCTGCCTCTTTGTTAGATTGACATCATTTATGAAGATGAGCATTTGAATAAAATAGTGTCTCGTTCAACAAATTACCTTCTGCTACCTAGTTTGGTAATGCTTCATTCCCCATGTGTTACTCTTCATTGCAAAAACAACATTCCTGGGATTCTTGACTCCTTCCTTCCAGTATAAGCTGTCCAACTGAAGTCATCTGCGATACGTTCACACGTTGCTTTGTGCAACAGCATGAGCTGTCTGTCAGTTAAAAACTTGAGGAATTTCTCTAATCCGGTTAATAGTCTGCTCAGCCTCTGAGACCTTACAGCCAATTAGTTCTAGATAGTTGGAAAATGGGTGATATAATTAGCTGATAACCCCCAAACTCTTGAAAGCTGTGTTCTTGTTGCATATGTTCTGTGCTGTATTTTAGGTTCACGAGAGGGAAATACGGAAATAACTAAGAAAAGGCGTTTTAAGTTGCAGGCATGCATTTTAAAGCCCAAGCCCTTATCCTTTTGGATCACTTAACTGTTAAGTACCCTTCTAAATCAGAAATGCATTCTCCTTGGGAAGTGAAGCTTCAGCAGAGTGAAGGTCAAACCCAATGGTGGCCGAGAGCCTGGAACTTCCTAGAAAAAAGGCCAATTTTCCCCCCCCCAAACCTGTTACCAGATTCACCAGATGATAAAAATGAGATTTCCGACACTGGAGATGTATTTGTAACTCTGCACATCGTGACAGTTCTTAAAGAAAGCAGCGTATCCCTTAACAGCCCTGGAAGTAAAACATGCACAAAGTGCAGTATTGGACCTATTTCTGTTCCATCAGAATATGAGATTAGCTTTGATCTCGTTGATAAAAATTTGGTTTCTGGGCTAAACATAAACATTTATTGCAAGCATATATTGCGTTACAGATTGGTGAGGCTTTCTGTGGCAGGTAACTTGTGTGCCTGCCTACAGGACTGGGATTCTTTCCTGCTGGAGTCCTGCAACAAACACTTTAATTTGAAGCAAGAGTTTCTTCTAAAAATTGCCGATACCCATGACAGCTAAAGAGGCTTTTTGCACTTGGAACTATTTGTCTTAAATTAGAAGAATCAAAACTATTGTATTTCAAAACTTTCTGATTTTTTTTTTTTTTCCCCCCCTGTGAAAGCATGACTGTGACAAATCTGCTTTGAAGGAGCCTTTTGGAGGTTAAGGGTTTGTTCTCAGAGTCAAATCCCTGCAGGTTAATGCTGGGACTTAAACTTGGGCTGACCCGATTTCCCTTTCCTTGTTACTGCGGACATCACAAGCTTTTGGTGGGAGATGGATCGCTGGGGTGCCATCACTCTTAATTACTTGGGAAAGCTGCTGCTTTTGTAGGTGAGAAACAAAAGGGAAGTGGGGAAATGAGCAACTGCAGCGAGTGTTTTGGGAATATGGTGCTGTTGAAGAAAAGGTGGTAGCTGGGTGCTATTAAAGAGCTTTGCTGAAAGCCTTTCTGAACTTTTTGAATAAGCTTGAATGACTGCAGAAAGTGAAAAATATAAACTAATAAAAATGTTGTTTGTTTCCCTGCAGGGTCTCCTTATTATGACAATGTCCGCCCGCTCTCCTATCCAGATTCTGATGCTGTCCTGATCTGCTTTGACATCAGTCGGCCAGAAACTCTTGACAGCGTGCTAAAAAAGGCAAGTGGTTCAAGAAACGTTTGAGTACAGAACTGTTTGAGTAGCTTGTCTTTAAATCTCTGAGGAGTGGTCCTGTTTCCTACTTTGGAAACTTCAGTTTGTTTCTTTTCATGGAGAGATGAGAGGACCGCACTTTGCCCTGCTAGAATTTGAGATCATTTGTTTGAAAGGGATGAATGTTAATTGAAAACAAAACCTCCCTAAGAGGCGCTCAGGAGTGAAGTAAATTCTTATTCCTCAGCCCTTCGACAGCCGTGAGTTGTTGAGGGTGGTGTGAGGTGCAGGGCTGGGTGCAGTGAGGTATTGTCTTTCACATTATATTCGTATAACAGACAGAACTGAGAAACTTTGCCATGTTGCAAGGATGGTTGAAACGTGCCTGCCAAGTGTTTGGACTTTTGCCATGGCTTTACATAATTTCTCCGCCTGAAGTCAGAAGGAGCCAGTGACAAATGCCTCTGGAAGCCATGAGAAGGCCTTAGCAGCGGCATAGAAATGCAACCCTGCACCAAACTTCAGAATTTTTCCCAACTCAGTGATCCAAGATTCAGTGCCAGGCTTTCCCCGAGTTAAAACATTGAATTTTGATCATCAAGTGTTTGCAAGGTGGTCCTGGTCCTCTCCTTGGTCACTGGGCGTGACTCAACTTTGCAGTGTTGTCTTTAAGGCTTAATGATCTGAAGTTCCTTTTTTCTGTAGCTGGGGCCAGTGATTCTTGTGTCATTGGGAACAAAGTGGCATACAATGTTCTGAACAGTCTGCAGAAAATACTTGAGACTGTTCTCTCAGCTACTAACTGTGCCAACAGGCATCTAGAACTGTCCTTTTCTGCCCCAATAATGTTGGTTACTATACTGTTGCTTAATTCTGTACGAGATTTTTCTTAATATGCTTTTAAACCCAAATGATATCCTTAAATTCTAGGGATTGTATGATCTGCGCAGATTATGCTGTGAGATTTTTGGCTTGCTTGTGTTATCAGAATAACTGTATAGAGGGGGAAGAAAGCCAAGGAATATATCACAAGTTCTGTTTGAAGGGCTTATTACTGGTTCACAGTAGCTGAACCCTTGACAGATTTGTGTAGTTCTAGGTGTGAGGATGTAGCTGTGAGGCAACATATAACGACGCTTATTTTGTGGTTGTACAAGACCTGCCTCTCTAGCTTGTGTCTTGAGGAACCACTGGAGGTGGTGACAGCAAGTTTGGTTGGTTCCTGTCTGTAGATGGCTACGGCTGGGTGTTTGCCGCTTGTGAGGAGCGACAGGTCTGCAAACCTTTACTCATGTAGGTAAACAATCTCGACTCATTCCCTCTTGATAGTGAGTCAGTGGAATTACTGAGTGTATGAGATCATCCTTGACCAGATTCTGCTGGAACCAATGCCTTTAGAAATTAGCTTGAAGGTAGATACAACTATTACGTAAGAGCATTTCCCCATGAAATGTCACGACTTGCTAAACTTTTCATCTTGTGTCTATTGCTTCTTTGTATTTAAACATTCTACTACTCGAGTGTAGTAACAACCTAAAATTTTACAGTGGAAAGGTGAGATCCAGGAGTTTTGTCCGAACACCAAAATGCTTCTGGTTGGTTGCAAGTCAGATCTGCGCACAGATGTAAGCACGCTAGTGGAACTTTCCAACCACAGGCAGACACCCGTGTCCTACGATCAGGTATGTGCCACGTCCTTCATTGTACCTAGATGCAGAAGATAAGACACTTTTCTATCACTGGAGTCATCTTTATGAACAACTTCTCCCTCCGTTGACATGAGTGCATCCTAGAAGTCAGATGCACGTACTCCAGTAGTTGCTGGAGGTGAATTTGAAAACCATTATGAGTAAAGGCAAAGCCTACCCACAGACTGCATGCAGCAGAAAATCACGCAGCCCCACAACGCATGCTTTAAGTGTCACAAGTTTGTAGCCTTAATTGATTGCAAAGAGCCTTTTAAGTGAATTGAAAACAAACTTACTGCTTTTCTGGGCCTACAGAGGCCAAAACAGTAACAGAGATGTGATGTCCTGTTTATTTAGTGACAAATTGGTAAAATTTTTTGGTCAAACTTAGGATTTGTATCATACATTTGACTTCAGCATCATGACAAGCCTTGCATATGGTATGACCCCTTAAAAATCCTATTTCCTGAACATCATTTGTGCAAACACAGTGTAGCTGCCTCTGAAGGTGGCAGGAGATCCAGAAAGCATCTTAATCCTTGGCAGCAGTTCTCTGCTGCTGGGAAAGTGAGAAGTTTGGAGCCAGGCATCAGGGGACAGAGAAACCGAGGTGAAAGGGAAAGGAATCGGGCCGTGGGAGAGCAGGAGGTGGAGAATGGGAAAACCAGGCTCTAAGGTGAACTTCCCCTTATTAGTCACACATGGGTATCGTGCATTGCAGCTGAATCAGTGGTGGTTTGAGATACACCCTGCAGGGCGTAAGGGTGAGAACAGTACCTCCAGAAGTAACTTCAGCTAGTGTGTATATCCTATGCTATCACACAGGTTTTGATGTTTTATCCACAACTTCATGTTTTCCAAACCAACAGCACCTAATACGCGATTGCCAATGATGCAGCCTCCTACAGCATGCTTACATTTGAAAATGCAAAGATACCGTAAACTGAGTATCTTGATTAAATTAGAACGTGGAGTGTTCTACTGTGACAGCGTAGGCTGGTTATGGCATTTTTCTACACTTCACTCAGTAAACATCCCTCCATCCCAGACAATTTTGTATGAAACTAAGTGCCAGGTTTTTAGCTTAATGTAAGACAATTCAGAAGTGTCCTTAAACCCTGCTTATGGTGGAAGATGTCTTTCTGGTTATAAACTACCACTGTTGCATGTGCATATATGCCTGTTGTTCAGCCTCAGAGCTGTAATTTTCTGTGGTATTTTTCTTTGAATATTAAACTCAGAAGGAAATACTGTCTGCCACTTACTACATATGCAAGTTCATGTGTTACATTTTTTGCAGTACTTCAGCAAAACCACCATGTCGCAGCCCTTTCCATAGATAGCGATCAAAAAAAATCTACTGGCAGGTGGTTTTGTCCCCTGGAGTTGACGATCGCATCTCCTGGTGTCACAGCTTAGCCTGTACCCCTTAGGAACAGGAGCCAGCTGGAGACAAAGGGCTAAGCCAGAAGCTATGACTTGGCAGCCAGAGGGGAAATTGTACGTGTTATGGGGAAGCCCATATTTCAGCAAACTCCCATAATTTCATCTGTACGTAAGCAAAAGCTTAGACTGAGCAATGGTTGTATCTCTTGTGGCTGCCAAATCCCTGGTGGCATGAAGCAACCCAACACTCTCCCCCACTAGTTCTAGGGAAGGGTCCTCCTGGGTCGGGATGCACAGCTTATTTTTAAATTCCCTTGCCTTGCTAAGTCGACATGGGATCAAGGAGTGAGGTTTCCCCCGTTCCTCTTAACTTCATAGGGACATGTTGGGAGGATAAAGCCAGTTGATGGTGACACCCTGCCTCCAGTACGCTGGCCAGCTTCCAGTCAGCAACACCTTAGCAAACATTTCTGAGGCCCTAAGGTATAGGCTAGGCTTGGTTAGTAGGAGCTGAGATGTTTAACCGTGGGGTGGCCTTGTCCTACAAACTAATACTCCTTTATCAGCTGCTCCCACTTAGAACTGATAAGAAGATGGCTGTATCACTGCCGTGTAAATAGTGCGTACTGAAGACGTGGGTCCAGATTAGTGCCATCAGCCTGGCACTAGAGCAAAGAGGAGGAGTTGGACTGACTGTATCTTGGGCCCATGAATATGCGAGGAGTGGCACATCAAGGATGTGGTTGGATTTCGTAACTTACTAAAAAGATTCATCCCTCAGAAGTAAAATTCCATGGAAACAACTCTGTTTTTTTCACACAATGCTGCATTGTCTTCCAATAGCAAAATCCACAACAGGATTCTGGGGTATTGTCAGCTGCCAAAGTTGTGTGTTGTTTTCCTCATGCTGCTGGAACAAATAGCCCTGCTTGGACTTCTAATGCACTTAAAATCAAAAAAGAAGGGCTCGTATAACCACTAATGTCCTTTTTTCTTTTTTTTTTTTTTTGCCTGTTCCCTAGCTACAAGGCGATATAGCTGTCCCTGACCCCGTTTTACAACCTTTGCCCCCTTCGTGGAGATGTAACACAGGCTCCGTTCCAGGTCAGGGCCACGCGAGCCAGCCCTTAAGGCAGTCCAAATACATTTTCTCTTTGGAGATAGCAGGCTTAAATCTGGAAGCTGCCAGGTCCAAACCTTTTCCAGTGAGCACGTGATTCACAGATGCAAGTTAAGGTGTAAGGGTGAAATTGCTAAATGGGTCCTACCAATACACTTCTGGCTTTCTGCAGTTGTTTGCAGGTCACTCGGCTTATCTTCTCCCTTCCAATTTGTATTTATTGGCATAGGAGATAATGCTTGGGTACTCGTTTAATGCATCTTGGAACCAAAGCTCTGTTTATTTTGTAAAATTAGCTGCTGGCTGTAGTGCTGGCGCTTTGGCTTTGGTTTTCACAAAACATTGTGTACGGAAAACAGTGCTGAAAAGTAATTGTACGGTTTGCTTTGGCTCTCTGTGGAAACTTGGTATTGATTGCGTGTTCTTTTTTTTCCCCTTAGGGTGCAAATATGGCCAAACAGATTGGAGCAGCTACATATATTGAATGCTCAGCCTTACAGTCAGAAAACAGTGTCAGAGACATTTTTCATGTTGCCACCTTGGCGTGTGTGAATAAAACAAATAAAAATGTTAAACGAAACAAATCGCAGAGGGCAACAAAGCGAATTTCACACATGCCTGGCAGGCCAGAACTTTCCACAGTGGCGACGGACTTGCGAAAGGACAAAGCAAAGAGTTGCACGGTGATGTGAAGGACCTTGATTTCCTGCAGAAGGAGGAAGAGAGCGTCCGGGAGGGGTGGAGGCTCAATGAAGTACACAGCCACATGGTATTTAATGAGGGCTTATGCCAGTGCTTTAACGGAGGCTTCGCCTGTCGTGTGAGACTGTACTTAGGAACTGAGCAGCGAGAAGAAATGGCTCTAAACGAGGTGGCATCAGGAAATGATACATTGAAGAAAATGCCAAAAAAAAAAAATAATAAAAGGGAAAAACGTTTGAATGTGCTGAGAAAAAGAGAGGGTGAATGGGAAAATAACACTGCAAAGGAGAGATGTCATGGACAGTGCTTGTTTCTTTTATTAACGCTCTGCTCCTGGATGCTACCACTTTGATTTCATTAAAATAATACTTTAATGGGATTTTTTTTTTAAAAGAAGATGTTATTAATATGCCCTCCTCATTAAGGAACTATCCCTGTGACCTTATAGGTGGTTTTCCAAAGGATATGATCTAATTTTTTAGTAGCTCATCGTTAAAATGGAGAGTATACCGAGGCCTGTGCGTCACCTAGAGGAAAATGCTGTATGTGAGAAGTCTGGAGTTTCGCCTTCCCGAGAGGGTAGCGCAGTCTACGTTGGAGCACGTTGGTAATGAAGACACCCGTCTGAGATTTCCCAGTGTTATAGGTGCTCTTGCACTGTGGAGATTAAACGGCTCAAATTGGGGAGGGTGTGGGGGGTGGGCAAACTGCCTGCCCGTCCGTTGCAGGACTCTGACTTTCCATTCCTCTTTGTGATTGTAATTTAGAGTGGAAATGATCTCCAGTTCTGGTGTGCTGTATGGGTATGTTGCTGTAGGTTGAAGTGAAAGGTGCTAAGAGCTATGATGACAAATGATCCTTGGTTTTACAACCATGATAATTCGTTAAGCCTTACTGCCCATCTGGGGGAAGCCCTGAGACTCCTGCTTTGAGCTGGAGAGCCGGGTGGATCCCAGGATCTAGCCCTCTGTAAATGCTACAGAGAAGTGCTATTTTGTGATCTGGTTCACTGCAATTATCTTTGCAAAAAAAAAAGCAAAACACAAACCCTCCAAGAATCTGCTAATGAGCCAGCAGAGCCAGGTTATCTTTTGCGATGCTCTTATTTTTGGGGCGGCCATCTCTTGCTGCAGCCTGTGTTTGCTGGCGGTGAGGGAACGGGGTCTGAAGAACTGTGACGCCTTAAGGGGTCCCCAGTGGAAACTGGGTACTGCCCATAGTCTTTAGGATTAATATATATGTATCCAGACAACAGTCGTGAAACATTGGTGAACCAGTTAAGTCAAATTCCGTTCTGCGTACTGAATACTATTGTTAACATTAAGTAAATTGGCCTTTAAAATTGTTTGGAACTGCTTACTGACCCACTTAACTCCATAGCTTCTCTCAAAAGAAGGATGCTGTAAGCTCTCACCAGTGTGGCTGTCGCTTGTTGAGGGACAAGCGTTCTGTTCCCAAGGGCAATGCTTCATTTTTGAAGTGTTAAAGCTGTGTTCACGTTGACTTGTGCGAAGGTAAAGGGTTACCATAATTAAAACTCAGTTCTGTGTGTTCCCGGCACTTTGTTTCATCTGATAAAAGAAGGAGGAAAAAAAAAACAACAACAAAAACCCAAACCAAACCCTAACCATTCCAATTATTTCCCACAAAAAGACATTTTTACCACCATAATAAGCTTTTGACTGATGCAATGGTGCGCTTAGGGCAGTATTACAAAATAGCTGGTAAGTGCTTTCTGTATTTAAATATTGTGGAAAAAATAAGTTATAACTGTTATAAAACAGGACATTCATTACTTTTTTTAATTGTTGAAGTCACTTTGTATGTTTGGTTAATGTTTCTGCAGTATTTATTAAAATACCATTTTTCTTTGAATTAAAAAAAAAAGTAATTGACTTGGAGTGGAAATGGCCTTTGTGTGTTAGTTCATTGGTATTTGTGCATTTGGACAGAATTGTACTGAGCTACAGGCCAGGCGTAGCTGGGAATTATTGGGATGTGGCTTTAGTAGAACCCAGTCTTAGCCTTGCACCAGCCTTTTGCTTTCTTTGGCGTTATATTGAAGTACATTACTTACCTGAGTTGGGTTTCCCAAAATTGATGGAGGCAGAGGAGACCGGAGCAAGCAAATGAGCAAAGCTTGGTTTGCTTCACCTCTAAAGCATTGAACGCTGCTTTTTAGAAGATTTCATATCTTCAGGCTGTTCCTAGGAACTGCTCTTTGCTGCCCGCTCTGAGTTCAGCAAAGACAGACTTCCCTAACCGAGGGGGGGTTCCCTTTTTCCCCTTGCCGTTGGGATGTCATGGTTGCTGTGGCTGCTCTCGGAAGAGTTGTCCCAACAGGCCAGCTCTGCTAGGTGTCAGGGTCCCATTTGGCCACTGAGGATGTGATGCTGAGTGCAGCCAGGGTGGTCGTCCTCGACGCCTTTACGAGGTTTTTCTCCCTGAAACTTGTAAAGTCAAGGCAAGGGAGCTTCCAAGTTTCTCGTTTTGGGGTCTATTGAAGCACACGTGGTCACGTTACATCTCAAGTCAAGCAGAAGTCCCAGCAGTTGGGTATCTCGCTATTGCTTGTGACTGTCCTGCGCTGACCTCGTCATCCCTTTCTATGCCTGATGACAAACCAGGTTTGGTTCCCTGGCTCTACGGATGCTGGGCTGTGCGAGAAGGCAGCCTGTGCCGGCGGAAGGGTGTGGGGCTGGCTCTGTGGTGTGGCTCCTGGCTGCTGTGCCCTTCCAGCAGCTCCTGAGTTCCTGGGGACTCCTGTCCCTCCACACCCATGAAATGCCAGCCCTGCAGTTCTTGGAGCTGGAGGTGGCCTCCAGCCATGTCAAAACTCCTGGTGAGGCTGCTGCAGCCAAGTGTGTTTGGCCAGGGGTTAATTATCCTGATGCCTGAAGAGCTGCCTCCTCTTTGTAGTCTGACCTTGTATTGTTTCAGCCTCTGGTCTTTCTGTCTAGTTAGATGTGTCTCAGGTGGCCGTGCTCGCGATTACTGAATTTAAGTACACCTCATAGGTCACCAGTCTAGAGCTCAGTCACTGAGAACCAACCAGATCGACTCCTCCTTCAATGACTTCGAGTCTCTTGCTATAAAGGGTATTTCCCAATACATATTTATCTACTGCGTGGTTCCTTTTAGCACACTTACAGGTTTTTGGCATCTTTATCAGAGCTACAAATGCTGGGGGAGCACTTGGGCCGCAAGGCCTTTCTGCTAGGAGTGCTTTCATGTTCATCCTAAGCTTTCCCAGAACCCTTCTGGCCCCGCGTTGCCCGTTCCCCACGGTGGTCTTCTTGCCATCTGCCTACGGCACAGCCGGTTTTTGCTCGCGCTCGGTAGAGCATCGTGGCCATGCATGTTCTGCGTGATCTGAAAACCTTCTCCTGGGTTTTGGAGATCCTCCTATTTCTTTTCAAACCTCTGATCTGCTGTTTGGATTGTGGAGTAGGGTAGGACAAAGAGAGAACCTCCTTGAAGCCTCACGAGAAATGTGCCTTCCTCTGGTGACTCTGGTTCTACTTCTTGAGATGCGTCAAAGTTTGTAATGAATTTTTGACCCGTTTAATGCGTGCAGGCTTGGTTTCGTGTTGCTCCTGTGGTGCGGTCCCAAGTCAAATGGGTGGATTAGGAAGGTGGATTGTGGAGTAGGGTAGGACAAAGAGAGAACCTCCTTGAAGCCTCACGAGAAATGTGCCTTCCTCTGGTGACTCTGGTTCTACTTCTTGAGATGCGTCAAAGTTTGTAATGAATTTTTGACCCGTTTAATGCGTGCAGGCTTGGTTTCGTGTTGCTCCTGTGGTGTGGTCCCAAGTCAAATGGGTGGATTAGGAAGGCACTGTTAAAGGTGCTCTTAAACCATCCTTAGATGCCTGCTGAAAGGAGCTAAAGATCCCTTTTTAATGAAACAATGTTGGTTGATCACTACTCTCTTTCAATGCCACCAGCTCAGTCCTTTATTTTCCTCTTAAGCGGATGGAAGATGGAGACGTCTTGATTTATCTATGGTTTTCTTTTAACATTAAAAAAGAAAGCCAGTGGGTCTGCTTGTGCATCTTTTTCTCTTACTGCTGCCAGTTTTAGTGCTTCCTTTAGACCAGAATTGCTAATTTTGTTGTTTGCATGGAACATCTCTCGCTAGCTTTGGCCGATGGTGGTTGAAACCTTTGAGTGAGAGGAAGGACCAGAGGTTTACTCTTCTAAAATTAGAGCCTGGGCTGGGGTGACACCCGCAGCAGCAGGGTTGGGTTCTGGTGTTGGTAAGGTGATCACCAGCTCTCCAGCTGCTTGCGGAAGCGAGCAGGGGGTGAATCCAAAGTATTTTCAGCTTGTGGGCTGTGGCTTGGTAAGATGTTGCTCTTCAGCACCATTTGATCCCTGGAAAACAAATTTGGCAGATGGCCATGACTCGGTCCCCTTCCAAAAAGCACTCCACGTCTGCAACTTGGGGGGTTGTTGTTGTTGTTGTCGTTCTTTTATTGCACAGCCGCGTTGTGCAATCGCTTACGATAATCGAGGCAGTTCGCTAAAACTCGGCGCCTTGCCGAACATCCCGGGGGATCCCCGGGAGAGCGGTCTTTCTAAAAGGCGGTGGGCTGCTTTGCGGTGCAGAAACAGAAACATGGCACCGAATCTCGGCAGGCTGGCGAACCCTCGCCGCGCTGGGGCCGTGCAACTCAGCTCCTCGTAGGGCCCTTTGCCGAGGGCAGCGGCAGGGGCTGGCGAGGGTGGCCGACAGGAGCAAACCCACCCCACGTTCCTCGCTAAAACTTTTTTTGATGGATATTTATGGGTATTGCCACCTACCTTGGTAGCTGCTGAAAGCTCTAGTGGGTGCAGTTATTTCGGTTTGAGGGCGCCAGGGCTCGGTGGTGCTGGGTCCTTGGTGGCCCTGGCTCCCCCCAGGCAGGACCCGATCGCAGGAGAGCTTGAGGAAGGGACCGAGCTCGTCTCTGACTCGTTTTCATAGCTGATCTGAAGAGAGAAACGGGGAGAGCTTGGCTAATGAATAGTTGGATGTCGTCAATATGGCATTTCCCTGCCTAATCCTCACGTAGCAGCGCTGGCACTCCTAGGGGAGGGATTATTTGCTGAAAAGCAAGTAATTAGTAGTTCTCAGATCATTGGGCTTCTTCCTACCAAACTC